CCCCCGATTCGCTCGCTGGCGGGAGGGGGGGTGACGGAAAAAGAAAGGTGTGGGGGCGGTGTCGAACGCAAGGTACCGACGAGGAGGTGAAGGCGGGTGACGGCTGTGGTGACAGGACGTTGAGATACCGGTGCGGTCTAAGGTATTCCTCCGATTCGCTCGGTGGCGGGAGGGGGGGGGCGGAAAAAGAAAGATGTGGTGGCGGTGTCTAAAGCACGATTCTGGGAAGGAGGTGAACAAGAGTGGCGATGGGGGCGGAGAAAGGAAGGTGTGGGGGTGGTGTCGGCGGAGGAAGTGAAGGGGGTGGTGGCGGAACGATGAGGTACCGGCGCGGTTTAAGGTTCTCCCTCGGTTCCTTAGTAAACAAAAGGTAGAGACATGCCGCAGCTGGTCACGAGACAACCACTAGATTTATAGCAGTGAAGATTAAAGGGGCGAATTGGAACTCACAGGGCTGCTAGGAGAACTTTATACGATATCAGATTATATTTTTTGCTTTATGCCTAACAACGAAGAATCATTGGTATTATCAATAACTATTCACAAATATCTATTTAAATGTCTAGTATAAATCCTATCAATTATTGATCGTTATAAACAACTGAATGTCAACTCAATTATAAATTAAAGTTTGTATGTTACAATAACACTACAGTGTGAGTCTGATAACTCAAGAAGTAAAAAATCCAATTTTTGAAACATGGTATTTTCATTTGCTAATACAGTTTCCTTGTTCATGGATATCTATTAAGCCAAAAAAACAACAATTGTTTGAAACAAACGTGCTGAGAATCTTAAGAAGATTATTTGATTTGTGATATACGTAGTTTTACCCGCAAGCTAATATGGTTTTCAAGCAGTGGGGTCAACATTCACACATTTTTTCTTTGGAGTTAATTATGACCAGTCTAGTTCTAGTCTACCTTCTAATATACCGTAGATAAAAACGCAATAATCTTACCAAATATTAAGTAAAAAGTAATTTTAGTTGTTTAGTAAGTAAGGTGTTCAGAAAAAAGTTAGTAATTATTTGACATTTTAATTAAACAGGAAAAACCACAAAATAAAAACCGCAATGTAAAAAGTGAACATTTTCTCAAAATTCTGCCTTCAATTACTAGATAATAGTTAACAAATCGCGACCAATTTTTCCACTATGTATTCATGTATGGATGATTTCAATAAGGTGCCTTTCTGCAGATTTACAGAAAATAGTTTCCCCTTCGAAACACAAAAGTATTCCAAGTATCCCTAGACTGGACTAAAGAAAGTATATTTTAGAGTTGCAATTTTCAGACACAACACAGTTCCAATGATTCAAGCAGCGCATGCAGAACGTTATTTGGTCGGAGGGGGAAGGGGCGAGCTGTTTTGCGATAATCAAAGAAGGGTAAAAAGCAAGAATCAAAATTTTAAAAAAAAGGTTATCATCAAATGCCTAACTTTTCATCAGTAAAGAAGGAATGAGTGCTTGCGAGATTTTTTAATTCCCACGTTATAAATTCGTGCAATCTTCAATAACATTATTTGCAGCCATGATAAAACTTTCGAGCAAAGAAGGCTCAGGGCATCTGTTGACGACACTACAGTGCCTCTGCTTGAGAAATCCTAGGGTTAGAGTCCCGATGGTGGCAGGATTTGCAGCACTACCTAGCCAGCTAGATCAACTTCAGCCACTGTCTGGTGGAGAATTGTTGCGGCCGACTGCTCTCATGGGTAACTTTCCGTGTTTTTTTTGATAAACACCAGGGCCACGAACCGCGCACGATTATTCCTTCCTCTTCCTTGTCTTATCCTCACCCCTTTCTTACACAAGCTCTTACTGCTCTTCTCTACCACACTTCTCAATCGGGAGATTAATTTGTCCCGGCTGGGGCGGTACCTTGCCTGGTTGGAATAAATCCTCGCAAGCCGATGGCAGTCGGCGCCGGATCTCACTGCACCGTTGGAGAAGTTCACCCCTAATTACCGCGATAAAAACGTGCATTACACATACGATACTAATGACTTTAGTAGTTGACGCGCCCTGAATCGCTAATCAATCAATCAATCAATGATGAAACGTTATAATAACGACAATACAAGAGAAAAAGTTTGTAGTTATATATAAAATACGAAATTAGAAAAATCATTACTACATACAATATTTTATTACCATCTAACAAAAATGGCACTTTGAACCTAGGACCAGCAGGGTCCTCAAGGACGGGCCTTCGTTAGACAAATCTCCTAGGGATGGATGGAGCTCGGAGCGCCCAAAGTCTAAAGCCCATTTTGTGATTGTACCACCGTGGGACGCGAGGCGTCCGGCGGCGTCAGGCCGTTCGCAAGTCAGCGACGCAGGTCGGCAGGACGACAGGGACGGCGCGGGACGGCGCGGGACGACGCAGGTCGGCGCGGGACGGCGCGGGACGGCGCGGGGCGTCGGCGGGGGCTCGGCTCGGCTGCGGTGCGGCCGTGAGTAGTCTTCTGGAGCCGGCAGTGGTGGCGAAACGTCGGCGCGAGGAGACTTCCCACGGCTCACCGGCCCGCGGCGGCCACGCCCACCCAGAGCGCGCCCCTCGGCGCCGCCACCCGCACGCCACGCAACGCCACGCCACGCAACGCAGCGCAGCGCAACGCAGCGCAACGCAACGCAACGATCAATGATGCCTTATTCCTCGTAGCAAGTCTCGGGTCATCTTGCTTCTTTATCCGCACAACCACGCAATTTCTTTCCCCATCTAGCGGAGAAAAAGGTAACACTCGGGCGATTTCATTTTAACTGAAAGGCTTCTCTTAAGGTAATCGAGTAGTTGATCGGCAATCAATGATGCCTTGTTGTGTGTGGTGAGGTTCAGGTCATCGGGCTTCTTCTTCCGCCTAACCATGTAAATTTCTTTACGCTTCTCACGCCATCT